GAGAGAGAGAGATAGAAACATCAATGATGAGAGAGTCATTGATCGAGCCCACAATCTGGGCATGTGCCCTGACTGGAAATTGAACCCTGATCACCTGGATCCTAGGTCGATGCTCAACCGCTGAGCCATGCCTGGCCGGGATTAATGTTACTTTCTATTTTTGGAAAACGGTATTGGTTTTCCATTTATAGAAGTGATAAAGTTTATTTTTTAAAATAAATCTTTTTGTGTAAATGAGTTTTTTATGTATTAGTAAACAATAGTATAGAAAATGGCAAAAAAAAACCATGAAGATTTGGGCAACACTAGATTAACTCATTGAGAAAATGGCCTAGTCCTAAGAGTCATGGCAACCACCCCTACTTCCCTGAACTTTTCCTCTTTCTGTCTCCTGCTTAAGGTCTGGGGGCCCTTATTCCTGTTCCAGGGGACTGTGTGGTTGGGACATTTCTAACTCAGTCTTATCTAGCAGCCCTCATACTCCGCACAGGGAAGCAGAGAGTACAACCTTCCCTAAGCTTACACCTGGGGACCGGAATGCAATGGGTAAAAACATTAAAAAGTCCCCCTGCTTCCCCCAGGAAGGCTGGGAAACTCTAGAGTGAAAAGCTGTACCAGAGGAGCTGAAGTTCCCCCATTTCCAAGAGATGCTTCTTCCTTTGGGTAGAGGTAGGTGGTCTAATAACCCATCCCATCGCCCTAGATGAGTCCAATACTTCTTCTGAAAGATAATTGCTATTAACACTGATAAATACAGACTGGTAACTCGTACAGTTCATCGGAATGTCCCCATTATTAACACCGAAGAAGGCATAAGATATCACCCAGGCATTATCTGTAAACACTAGTCTCACACAGAGTAAAGGAAAATATATCACATGAATCCAAGAGAGAACACAGCATTACAAGATGTAGCAGGCTCAAATGTGATGAAAACAAGATACCATTTTCCACCCACTAACTTAGCAAAGATTTCAAAATGTATTCTCTTCAGCTGACCAGAGTGTAGTGAGACCAGCTGTCTAATATTGCAGGTGGGGGTGTATGTTGTACAATCTTCCCGAAACAAAATCTGGGAGCATATACACCACGAGCCTTAAAATGGTTCATCACCTCTAACCATAAGAACGTAATAAGAAAGTAAAAAAAATGATCTAAAACAGTTTATAATGGTGTTATTTATTTAATCCTTATCTGAGGATACGTTTATTGATTTTAGAGAGGCGGGGGGAGAAATATCAATGTGGTAAGAGAAACACTGATTGGCTGCCACTCGTGCACACCCCAACTAGGGATCAACCCCACAACCTTTTTGGTGTATAGGACTATGCTCCAACCAACTGAGCCACCTGGCCCGGTCGGTGTTATTTATTTTGGTTAAAAACTGCAAATAACATAAACATCTAGAAATTGGAAGTAATGAAGTAAATTATGGTTCAGCCACCAAATGAAACGTTACACTGCCAGTGAAAATCACATCTTGAAAACAATCTAAATAAAGTAAAAATTGGAACCAAAATTATGTATTTTTAATGATCTCTTTATTTTTTAAAAAGTATATGCATAGAAAAGACCAGGAAGAAAACATATCAAAATGTTAACAGTGCTTATCTCTTGGGTTGTGGAATTATAGGTGATATTTAATTTCATTTTTATACTCCTCTGAATTATTCATGTTTTCTAAACATATAATTTTTATTATTCAGTGGAAAATGTTTTGTGCTTTCGTCAATCCCCAAAGTAATAATACTTATAAACCTACTAAATGAGTAAGTGGAAACAAATGAGAGCCCAAGTCAAGGAAAATGAAACTGAGGCAATGCAATGCAAATATATGCATGTCAAAAGTCCACTGGAGCCCTGGCCAGGCAGCTCAGTTGGTTGGGGCATTGTCCCGTACACCAAAAGGTTGCAGGTTTGATTCCCAGTCAGGGCACACAGTGAAGTTGAGGGTCCGATCCTCAGTCAGGAACAAACGGGCAGATGTATAAGAAAGATCTGTCATCGATAAAATACTGCATATTAGTACGTGGTATTATTGTTGCTTTCCTCCTTGGAGGTTAAGTGTACCTCAAGACTGCACATAACAAATCTAACACTGTGATATGGAGCTCGCTGGATTGCCAGGTTAACTAACTACTGTTTTTTTCTGGTTGATGTTTCCTAAATACCTCCTGATATTTTAAGAATTCTTTAAATAAATCATCGAATCAAGAACCTGAATTTTAACTCAGGTCAAAGAACTGACTGGATGCTGATAATCTAACTTTGGGGGAAGCAGATGCACACCTAGACTGGATTACAATCTACACCCAAAGATGGGCCATGCTGAGGGTCAGGTTCTAACAGACACTGAGCTTCCTCTACAAATGGAGGTCAATTAGCTAAGTGCTTGGGCTATACTTGTCTTTATACCTTTTTATGCATTAAAGTATTCCATTATATTTTTTGAAGCAGATGAAGATTCAGTACAAGTGAACTAGATTAAGAACTGGAATTTACTCAAATAAAAGCTTTGCAAATAGAACCCAGAAGGACATATTCTCACACAATGAGGAGGAAAGAAGGGAGGAAAGACTGTCATTCCCTGTGACAGAAAGACATGAGAGATTCAAAGCAGATCATTTTGAGGCTGTTAGAAATTTTTAGGGATACCTACCCACAAAACCCAAAACTCAACTAATCAGTTAAAACAGCTCTGTCCTGAGAAAAGAGGCCTTTGTGGAGGAAGGGGTTGGTATCACCTAGAGTGGTGGGAGTCTGAGGACAGAATAAAAGAGGAGAGCGAGAATGAAGGTACCTGGTGTACCACTGAGAGAAAGCAGAAAAATCTGTAGACCAGCCACAATGATGGGAACACTTAAGGCTTTGAAGACTTCCCATGTTAATTAATTTTGTTCTCTCCAGAGGGGATAATATAAATCTACACGTACATAACATTTATGGGCTATTTCCTAGGGGCCAGGCTCTGTGCTAATATTTACATATATCCATTTTCTTATTCTCATTCATAAGTCTATAAGTACTATTATTATTATTCCCATTTACAGATAAGGAAACTGAGGCTGACTGAGGTCATGGGCAGGCTCAAATCCAGGTCCTCCTCACTGAAGAGCCTGCATGCTCTCTAACTACTCTACCTAGAAAAACTGGAGAGGAGGGCTGAGGCCTAGTGAGATCTGCAGTCTGGGAAGAAGAGTTGCCAGGCAAACTGAGCATATAATAGCATAGCTGTCATCCCTCCAAGTGTGTACGCCTGACAGCCCTAACTCTCTCGTGTAGTAGAAATAACTTCCTGTCTGCACAGAACGGACTGTGTATGTCGGTAGCCAGAATGGGAAGAAGTCACATCTAGGGGTGTGGTCCTTGGAGGAGAAATGTCTCTCTTTCATTTTAATTCCAGCAGTCCCAGTAAAAAAATCAACCCAGATCATTCTAGCTTGGGGTGCCTCGTTTTAACATGGCCCCACCTAAGTTATACCTAGCCCAAGGTACAATAATGCCACCGTATGACTTGAAGTTTAACCAAGATTATTTAAACAGAACTATATCGAAGTTACAACCAAACTGGCCTCAGATAGACATCTCCACCATACCTCCTCACAACTGTGCCAAATAAGAGTTTAGGAAGCACTTTACAGATATTTATCTAATCCTCACAACAACTCTGTGAGCTGAGTCTTATTATTTCTATTTTATAGATGAGGAAACTAAGGCTCCAAGAGGCTAAGTTATTCGCCCAAGATCATGGAGCTAGTAAGTGGTAACGAAAAAGGGATCCGAGAAGTGCAGGTGAAACAAAAAACTCAAAAACATAAGAAATGGCCCATCTGAAGGAAACTCATTGTCTGGTGAATAGCAACTTCAATGTTAACACGAACGCCTACAGATGTTTTGAAGAGAGTGGCTACGGGTTATACTGGTTAGGAAATAAAAGTTCAGTCATTCTGTAATTTGACTTATACTACATTGTTTTACTGATATGGCTGTACACTCAATAGAAATATGATACAAATTTGTTTAGAAAAATAACGTGTGACATTGGTAAGATGTGAAGCAAGTGGGGAATTTACTAACTAGTCAATAGCTAGTATGGCTCTGTGTCAATCAGCCTTATACTTGGATATCAACTCAGAAAACAATAAATTTAGAAGCTTGTCATGCCATCAAGTGGCCAGTGGGGCTGCTCTGTAGTAACACTAGTTTTATCTGAGCTATAAAAATTATTGCAGGCAATATTATCACTAATGGTAATAATCTGGCAAATTGAAGTCAATATACACAGACATGAATGACCTTACTCGCTTATGCAGTTTAGATGATTGAAGACCCAACGTAAAGGTTTCTGCTGCGATGGGGATTAACCACACAGTAATTAATGGCAGTCTGAAGCAGAACGATAATCATGTAGTGGGGAAAGTAATAAAAATATCCCAACAAAGGTACTAAAATAAGGGCAATAAATGTTTTACAGTAACAATCTGGAATTGTAAAATGGTCCAGTGCAAACTAGACGTTGTTCCATGCTGTAGACTATTAATATCAAACCACCATGAGCATGAAAAGGGGACATGATATATTCAGTGACAATTATATTCCTTCCAAATTGCAGAGTTAGGTAATTACCTCTATTGAAAGTATATGAATGCAACTGCTGATCAGTGAAAACATTCATGGTTTTTTATCACTAACAGTTGGGAAACAAGAGTATATAAATCTGGTCTTGGCAGTTTGGGATATAGTGATATTACTCAAGACCTGTCTTAAGTACAGAATCAGAGAAAACTCAGTTGATGACAGGTGCAGACAAGGTATGGTGACTTTAACCCAAGCATAAAGTGGGATAGTATACCCTACTGCCTTATGTATGGGTAGACAGACAGATTTATATGTGGACCATGTGTTTGTCAAAGGTCATTATAAAATATGCTGGAATGGATCTATTACCAATCAACAAATCCTGGCTGTGAACAAAACTGGATGCAAGAAAATGAATTCTCAACTATGATGTTTAAGTTATAAAGACCACGATGTCCAGGCACTGAGCTGGTTGGTGTCTCTGCAATTCTCTTGGTCTTTCCCTCAGGTTACAAGCTAGCTGCTACAGCTTTCAGCTTCTCAATTTCACACTACCACATTCAAAAGCAGGAAACGTGAGCAGAGGCAAAAAGAGGCTTTCTTCACAAAACAATCTCTCTCTGATCAAAAAAATCTTTTCAAGAACCCTCCCTCGGGAGATTTTCTTACAACTCATTGGCCAGAGTCCATGAGATGAGGTCACCATAGACCAGTCATTGGGATTACCAAGGAATTCTTGTAAAAGGCTTAAACTAATCTAGATACCTGCTCTAAGTACACTGTCACTTTACTAATAGCTGAATAAAATTATGGTTCTTGAGCAAGGAAGAAGTAGGGCCAGGGTAGACTGTTGGGTAGGTAACCAACAGTGCCTGCTATACTAGCCAAAGACCAGGTAGTCTGTTGTTGGGAAAACCAGGAAGTAGTAAATTCATTCTGCTTAATGGAAATATCACACAATATCACAGAAAACACGCTCCCCTTAAGAAGAGCTAATACAAGGTACACACTAAGAAACATGAAAGAAAAGCCACTAAGTAAATGAAAAATTACATTCCTTCATTCCATAAATATTCACCTAGTGCCTACTATGTGCCACATGCTGTTCCTGGTACTAAGGGTATAGTGGTGAACAAAATAAGCTGCTGTCCTCGAAGAGCTTACAGTCTAGTGGTTTCTGATATAAAAGTTGTTCGCCTTACAGAAAAGAACAGTGGTCATACTTCCAAAGACTGTACTTCTATATACTGCCCAAATTGCAAAACACACACACACACACACACACACACACACACACACACACACACGAGTTGTTAGAATTGTAGAAAGTTCACCATACATTAGACTAAGTTATTTTAAAAATATTAAAATATTGGTAATGCAGCCCTGGCTGGTGTGGCTTGGTTGGCTGGAGCACTGTCCCGTACACCAAAAGCTGACGCGTTCGATTCTCTGTCAGGGCACATACACAGGATGTAGAATGGATCAACCGATGTTTCTGTTTCACTCTCTCTCCCTGTCCCCCACTCTAAAAAATCAATAAAAAATAAAATATTGGTAATGTATATTTGATATAGCACTTATCCAGGTATTCAAAATACTTTAATGCACATTATCTTTACTTCCAACTGACTGTGAAGGAAGAAAGGGTGGATATTATCACACTGGCTCCAAGAAGATGAGAGCCTAGGTCTCCTGCATCTCTCAAGTCAGTCAGCTTTCATGATAAACTATAGCTTTCACAGAAATAGGTCTCTAAGATTGAGTATACCCACAGATAGATGCCAGAGTTCTGAGATAACCTGAGAAGATGAACCCATCTCCTCACTGTGGCTGAGTTGGCCCATTAGAGAAAGTTGTGATAAAGTGATAATTAGGAGTATGGATACACATCTACACATCTTGGATTTAGCTAGGGTCTCTGTTGTGTTTGAAAATATAATTTATTAGAATTTTACTAGAGAAATCGTCTCCAGGGAGCTTTTAATTCTATTGTATGAATGGGATTCCATGTCAGAGAAAGAGGACCTGAAGAAAGCCAGCTCTAGAGTTATATTCTGTGTGACCTAATTCTCATAGTGTAAGTATACAAAAGGTGGCAGACCTATCTACATTCAGAAGCAATGAGCCCCAGAAACCAGATCTCTTGCTCAAAGAAGGTACTCCATCATCCAGTTTCAGGACAATATTTAATCAATAAACACCGTTTCAAAAAAAAAAAAATAATTAAAATAAATATATGTATATATGTGTGTGTTTACATATATTATATATGTATGTGTGTGTGTGTGTGTGTGTATATATATATACACACACACAAATACACACACATACATACATATATAAAAGATCTTTTCACCAGAACAGAGAATCTAACACCAAATCCTACACAGGGTGTCCCAAAAAAATGTACATANCACACACACAAATACACACACACATACATATATAAAAGATCTTTTCACCAGAACAGAGAATCTAACACCAAATCCTACACAGGGTGTCCCAAAAAAATGTACATACACTTTAACAGCTGATAGCTCAATTTTGAAAATGAAATGTATTTTAATACCAGTGCTTTTATAATTATTCAAAGTGTGTGTATACACTTTTTTGGGACACCCTATATATCTGCTTCCAATGTAGAAAAAAAATATTTGAAATGAGTTAATTTCCCACTTAATAAATGAATGTTTAAAGGTAAAATTATTCATCTTCTAATCCAAAAGAGAGTAGAGGAGAAGCTAGAAGAGGTCAAAGTGGAAACTCTCATTTCAATAAAGTAGAGGATTTGATGGGTGATGAAAGAAGTACCAACATGAAAGGAAGAACAACTCGACTTACTTTTTGGTGAGCCGAGGATCCAGAGGAGGGTGCTGTGCTCCATACACAGGCTGGATGCTAAAAGCAAGAAAAAGGAAGAGATTGTCAGGACACTAAATATATCGGGTGAGTATCATCTGCAATACAAAACTGGAAGGGACTTTGAGAAACAGGCCACCTCCTAGAACTATATCCAGCCCCAAAAGATAGCAACCTACTTTTTAAAAAATTTAATATAATATATCTTTATTGATTTCAGAGAGAGACATAGAAACATCCATGATGGGAGACAGTCATTGATTGGCTGCCTCCTGCACACCCTACTGGGGATCAAGCCCACAACCCAGGCATGTGCCCTGACCAGGAATCGAACCGGGATCTCCTGGATCCTAGGTCAATGTTCAACCACTGAGCCATGCTGGCCAGGTGCAATCTACTCTTTAAAAAAAAAAGTCTTTGAGAATGTTCATCTTCCCTGGGAGGTTTCAGTGCCTTACATACCTGATGTCAGGAAGTCCTATCTGTAAAAAGGCAGCATGGAAAGACAACAGGCTTTAGCGTTAGAGAGAACAGAGTTCACATGCCAGTCTGGTATCCACTCCCTCTATAAACTTGCACTAAGTTACTTAACCACTTTGAACCTGTTTTTTCAGGTTAAAATGGAAATATTACCTACCCCAAAGGATCACTTGGGCTCAGAGACAATGAAGCAACAAGGGAAGGTGACCCTAGAAACTCTTGCATACATTGCTGGTAGGGGTATAAAGTAATACAACCCACTTCAAAAACAGTTTGGCTGTATCTAAGAAGCATGAAATGTGAATACCCTAGAATCCAGTGTTTTCACTCCCAAATCTATATCTTAAAAGAAATATATACATATGTGTACCAGGAGACATATATAAAACTATTCATAGCATTATGGCTCCTTTTAGCTCCAAACTAGAGATAACCCAAGAGTCCATTTACAGAGAAATAAGCTGTTCATATATCAGAATGCTACACAGCAACATAAATATAAGTAAGGCTGCAAAGTAGCAATGTGAATGAATCTTACAAATGACATGTTGAGCAAAAAAGAAGCAAAGGATAAAAGAGTAAACAGTGTATGATTCTATTTATATACACTTCAAAAATTGGCAAAAATTACTTCTCTTGTTTAGGGAGCATCGATGGTGGTAACACCATAAAGAAAGCAAAGAGGGTTAACATGAAAGGATGTGGTAGTCTCAGGGGAAGTAGGGAGGTGTGCTAGGGAACAGACATAAGGGGGCTTGTGGGGGGCTCACTTCTGGGGTCACCATGCTGTCATTATTCATCAGGTTATCATACCACACAACCGTTTCATGTACTTTTCTGTAATAGTTCACATACACAAAAATGTGACCCAACCTAGTCACTTTAGCTCAGTGGTTAGAGCATCAGCCCTTGGACTGAAGGATCCCAGATTCAATTCCGCCCAAGGGCACATACCTCAGTTGCAGGCTCAATCTCCAGCCCTGCTGAGGGCACATGGGGGAGGCAACCAACCGATGTGTCTCTCTCACATTGGTGTTTCCTTCTTTCTCTCTCTCTCCCACTCTCTCTGAAAAAGCAATGGAAAAAATATCTTCAAGTGAGGATTAAAAAAAAAAGGGGGGACCTAAGAGTAATTATATATCAAGCCAAACTGCTGTTTAAGTACAAAGGTGACAAAANAAAAAGGGGGACCTAAGAGTAATTATATATCAAGCCAAACTGCTGTTTAAGTACAAAGGTGACAAAAAAACATGTTTCCACATATAAGAACTCAGGGAATATAGTTTCCTTGACTCCTTACTGAAGAAACTACTAGAGGAAAAACTTCAATTAGCGAGATAAATATAGAAAGTATGGCAAAAGGACTGGAGGAAAGAATTTAATTAATTTAACCTTAAGACTAAGTCTTAAATTTGCAGAGGGGAATGTAACCAAAAAAACCAAACAATCCATTAAAAAATAGGCAGAGGACCTGAACAGACACTTCTCCAAAAAGGAATACAGATGGCCAATAGACATAAAAGATGCTCAACGTCACTAATTATCACAAAAATGCAAATCAAAACCACAATGAGATATCACCCCACACCTTCTAGAATGGCTGTCACCAATAAATCAACAAACAACAAGTGATGCAAAGATGTGGAGAAAAGGGAACCCTCAGGCACTGTTGGTGGGAATGTAGATTGGTACAGCCACTGTGGAAAACAGTATGGAGTTTCCTCAAAAAATTAAAAATGGAACTGCCTTATGACCCAGTGATTCCACTTCTGGGTATGTATCTGAAGAAACCCAAGACACTGATTTAACCTCAGACACCCGGCTGAAGAAACCCCAGACACCTGGCTGGTGTGGCGAAGTGGCAGAGCGTAGGCCCAAGGACTGAAGGGTCTCGGGTTCAATCCTGGGTCGGGCACGTACCTGGGTTGCAGGTTCAATCTTTGGCCCCAGTCAAGGTGCATGCAGGGGCAACCAATTGATGTGTCTCTCACATCGATGTTTCTTTCTCTCTGTCTCTCTCTCTCCCCCTCCCTCCCTTCCATTCTCTCTAAAAATCAATGGAAAAATATCCTCGGGAGAGGATTAACAAGAAAGATATATGCACCCTTGTGTTCATTGTAGCATTATTTACAATAGGCAAGATATGGAAGTGNATGCACCCTTGTGTTCACTGTAGCATTATTTACAATAGGCAAGATATGGAAGTGACCCAAGTGCCCATCAATAGATGAGTATATAAAAAAGTTGTGATGCATATATACATTGGAATATCACTCTGCCATAAAAACAAATAAAATCTTACAATTTGCAACAGCATGGATGGACCTAGAGGGTGTTATGCTAAATGAAATAAGTCAAACAGAGCAAGATAAATACCATATGATTTCACTCATATGCAGAATCTAAAGAGAAAATTAAAGAACTAGCAAAAGAGAAACAGATACAAGATACAGGGAACTGATGGTTGCCAAGGGGAGGGGGATTGGGCGACTGGGTTAAAAAGGTAAAGGGATTGAGAAGTAGAAATTGGTAGTTACAAAACAGTCACAGGGATATAAAGTACAGCATAGGGAATATAGTCAATAATACTGTAATAATTATGTATGATGCCAGGTGGGTACCTAAAATATCAGGGGGATCATTTTGTAAATTATATGATTGTCTAACCACTATGCTGTACACCTGAAACTAATACAAAATAATGCTGAATGTCAACTGTAATTGAAAAATAAAATTAAGTATATATATATATACATATATATACATATACATATATACACATATACATATATGTGTGTATATATATATATCGCAATTATATACCCAAAAAAGAAGAGAATGTAAAAATAATAGTAACTGACGAATGTTAAAGTGGGATAGAGGTAAAACTGGATGACTAAGTACGTACATTGATTTCCTCATTTTTTACTGACGAGGCTCAAAAGATATTGAAAGCTGATAGCTCAAGTAATAGAGGCATAAGGGTGTTTTAAAATATGAAAATAGCCCTAGATTGTTTGGCTCAGTGGTTAGAACGTCAGCCCGCAGACTGAAGGGTCCTGGGTTCGATTCCAGACATGGGCATGTGCCTCAGTTGCAGGCTCGATCCCTGGCCCTGGTCAGGGTGCGTGCAGGAGGCAACCAATCAATTGTCTCTCTTACATCCATGTTTCTCTCTCTCCCACTTCTACTCTCTGAAAAGCAATGGAAAAAAATATCCTCAGGTGAGGATAAAAAAAAAAAAAAAAGCAGGTGGGGTAGGGGCATAATTTCATCATTGCTCATGGTAGGGAGGAATCAATAGGTATTGTCTGAAGAAATATGGTATAGAGTTATAAACACTAAAATAAAATAAGCCTTCCAAGTTAACAGAATATACACGCATACCCACCTCCCAAAGCAAGTACAGTCCTTATAGTGAAAGATTTTTTTTTTTAAATAATAAAAATAGAACAAAGACCAAATACATTAATCATTCCAATAAAGGTAAATAGGCTGAACTCATCTATTAAAAGAAAAAGGGAAAGGATCCAAGATGGCAGCAGATTGAGTGGAAGCTACATTGACACTCTCCCAAGCCCAAACTGGAATTACAACTAAAATACAGAAAAGCCACCCTGAATAATCAATCAACTGCAACTGAAGACGAGCTGGGAAGCACCCTCAACCAAGGAGGAAAAGTGCAGATCACATAGAGACTGGTAGGAAGTGCAGAGGCGAGAGAGGGCTGTCTGGGCTCCTACAGGCAGCAGCTGAAGGTCTGCAGGGATATCTCAGTTGTGGGGGATTCCCGCTGAGGACTCTGGGATCTATCCCAGCCAAGAGCACCAGAACTGAGAAAGGTGCCCACATAATATCGGGTTGTGAAAGCAGCCGGGTTTCTGTTTGCAAGGGAGAGACGACGGCTGGAAATGCAGGCACCCTTTTAAGGGGCCAAGGCACAAAGTTTCGGTGCAGCCACTCACCTTGGGCTCTGGCGGAGGCAGAGTGGACTACAGCAGTGTGAGGAGAATCCAGGGGGGCTGACTGGAGGAATAGATCTCAGAGGGCACCCATTTGGACCCCGGTGCTGAGTCACTCCCCCATACAGCAGAGAACATCTTTCTCAGGCAGACATTTACCTTCCAAGTAGCATTTGCCTGTGGGGGGGCACGGGGGACAATTGCCCCACCCTGCTGGAAAACCTCTGGCCCCAACCCTTGGAGTTTCTACAACCTGAGGCTTCTTAAAGGACTGGTAACAATCAGCAGCCCCACCCTGTGGAGTTTCTACAGCCTGAGGCTCATTAAGAGACTGAATAACAACCAACCTCTGGGTGCTTTGAGTCTTTGCCTAATTTGCTTTTGGACCTAGGGATTAGAAAAGCAGACCTTGGTGCTCTTCTTGGTTCTGTCCAAACACACCCAGCCCCAGCAGAGGAAACCAGAAGCTGTAGACAGTGGAAAACTTCAAACAGGGTACTCAAGGCCAGTCACAAACAGCATCTGACATTGGCCTGCACCAGAGACTATTGAAAAGACCAGCAGATCTACCTAATACATAGAAACAAATCCAAACAG